TGGGTCTCTGGATTAACAGAGTCTATAGGTGTGAGGCTGGAAAAGCACAGCAGGTCAGACAGCATCCGAGGAGCAGATAAGTTAATGTTTCAGGCCAAAACCCTTCTTCAGGACTGGGAAGGGGTTTCGGCCCGAAATGTTGACTTTCCTGCTCCTCGGATGCTGTCTGACCTGCTGTGCTTTTGCAGCTCCTCACCTACAGATTCTGGCTTCCAGCGTCTGCTGCCCTTATTGTCTCCAAGTCTCTGGATTAACAGTCCAGCGATAATACCACTAGGCCATTGCCTCCCTGCTCACAAGTTGTCCAGACCAGGTTATGATGGCACATTTCCTATCTGAAGAGCAGAAGCAAAGGCATCATCCAAATCAGTTTTTTCTTAAGTTGAAAACAATCCAGTAGTTTCGTCCAGTGTTAGCATTTCTTTTCATTCCAGATTTGTTCAGTTGACTGAATTTCAGCTTCTGACTGCTGTGGTAGGATTTGAACTCGCATCTGTGATTATCAGTTTGAGTCTCTACCCAAAGCCCTGACAGGGATGCAGTCAGATCAACTGATTACAATCCATCCATCGGCTCCTGGATTCCGACACAATCTATCCTATTTGGGTGAGATGCCCAGACGGGAGTGGTCTGGTCTGTGCTTTCAGATTGAGTCAGGAGAGAGGGAGAAAATTTGAAGAGAAAGCGCGAGGGAAATAGAGGTGTTGATTTGATAGGCCATCCGGGTAGCTGCCCCGCTATCTCTCGAAATTGTATTGTCTAGACTTTTTGTTGGAGTGAGTGACATGGTTATCCACCTTTTGGTTGTTTATTTAGGCTCTGCCTCATGGATACACAGCATATAGTACGCCGATGCCTTTGCAACAGCAAGCTGGAAATGGCATGCTGTCGCCCAACTACAGTGCCAGGCCGTACCAGGCTGCTCATTCTAACCCAGCTCTCGTGGAACGGATCAGGCAAATGCAACAGCAGCCTAGTGGCTATATTCACCAGCAAGCCTCCCCCTACCCACCGAACCTTCAGGGCAATCAACGGTAAGTGCTTTGTCATTGTTCATTAGTGAGTCTGGACTTGTACAGCACAGCAACAGACCCTTCGGTCTAACTTGTCTATGCCGACCAGATATCTAAATTGATCCAGTCTCATTTGCCAGCATTTAGCTCATATCTTTCTAAACCCTTCCTATTCATAAGCCCATCCAGATGCCTTTTCAATGTTGCAATTGTACCAGCCTCCACCACTTCCTCTGGCAGCTCATTCCATACACGCACCGCCCTCTGCATGAAAAAGTTGCCTTTTAGGTCCCTTTGAAACTTTTCCCCTTTCACCATAAACCTATGCCATCTAGTTTTGGACTCCACCACCCTGGGGAAAAAGTCCTTGGCTATTCTTCCTATCCATGCCCCTCATGATATTATAACCTTTATCAGTCGCTCCGATACTCCTGGGAAAAAGGCCTCAGCCTATTCAGCCTCTCCCTATAGCTCAATGTCTCAAACCCTGGCAACATCCTTGTAAATCTTTTCCGAACCCTTTCAAATTCAACAACATCTTTTCCTGTCGCAGAGAGACCAGAACTGAATGCAGCCTTCTCAAAGCGGCCTTACCAATGTCCTGAAAGATAGCAAAAATTGCAGATTCTGGAGTCAGAGATAACACTGTATGGAGCTGGAAGAGCACAGCAGGCCAGGCAGCATCAGAGGAGCAGGAAAGTTGACGCTTATGTTCTGACGAAGGGTCCCGACCTAAAATGTCAACTTTCCTGCTCTCTGATGCTGCCTGGCCTGCTGTATTCTTCAGGCTCCATACAGTGTTACCAATGTCCTGTATAGCTGCAACATCCCAACTCCTATACTCGATGCACTGACCAATGAAGGCGAATGTGCCAAACGCCGTCCTCACCATCCTGTCTACCTGTGCTTCCATTTTCAAGGAACTATGCACCTACACCCAAGTTCTCTTTGTTCAGCAACACTCCCAAGGGCCCTATCATTTACTGTACAAGTCCTACCTTGGCTTACCTTATCAAAATACAACACCTCACATTTATCTAAATTAAATGCCATTTATTTAAATTAAATTCCATCTGCCATGCCTCAGCCCATTGGCCCATCTGATCAAGGTCCCGTTGTACTCTGAGATAACATTTTCGCTGTCTGCTACACCAGCAATTTTGGTATCATCTGCAAACTTATTAATCTCCCTTGCAGCAAAATCAAAATTATGATTGTGACTGACTGCTATGCCTCTGAAGTTGTTTGCTACTCAACATACTTGGTATTTATTTTGTGCTCTTCTTCCCCTTGGTTTGCATTGCATGATCAGTCATCCTCCAGATGTCTTGTTGATGTGGTGCTTGAACAAGTTATTGGAAGGAACATGGGAACAAAAAGAGGCCATTCAATCCCTTGAGTCTGATCTTGCATTCAGTTAGGCCTTGCCTGATTTGTACTTCATCTGCCCATCTTGATACAGTAATCCTTAATAATCCTGTTAGCAAAAACCTATGAATAGGAGGTCAGTAGTGGTCATGGCACCTCCTGACTTGTCTGCATTCCTTTCTCCTTTCCTTCTCACACGGGGAATCTGTGGGATTGAGGCCAAAGAATCAAACATAGAATTCAATGGTCAACTGAACTGGAGCTTCAATGGAGAGCAGCACATCAGGGATGGAAATTAATGCTAACGTCACCAGTAACACCCACATCCCTTGAATAACTAACAAAAAAAAAATCTATCCACCCTACTTGCATTTCATCTAAGTGGCAACTTTCGGTAGACACCCAATGAAAGGGGAATAAGAATGATCATCCCTGTCAATGTGTCCATATCTTTGGAAGAAAGCAGCAAAGCAAATGGTCATTCAGCTCGTTTTTGCTCAGCATTGTGGTAAATTGCTGCTGATTAGCTTGTTCATTGGATTACTCGGTAATGCAGTTATGTCCCACATTAGCATTCCTCTGGCTGCTCAGGGCTCTTGAGGTGCAGTGGTAACATCCATACCTCTGAACCAGGAGGCCCAAGTTCAATTTCCACCTGCTCTGGAGCTGGCTGATAACTCGTCTGAACGCATTGATCAGAAAATATGTTGCTATGGCTGCTGGCAGAGAGACCTAAAACAAAACTGACCAGAATAGTTGCAATACTGGTTTTTCATCCACCAATGTTTACTCTCTGTTGAAGTCGCTGTACAGGGTGGAAAGTTGGCATTCCAAACAGAACCTTGGGTGTCCTACCAAGAGAATTGGCCTAAGATCTATCCATAGAGCACTCAATGGCCTGACCAGGGAAATCCGCTCCAGTATTATCAATGTGTAGGGACCCATTCATCTCTTTGCAGTAACCCGTTTATTGAAGCGGGACGTACCAAGCAGTTCTGCGCTCCCATCATTTTCTTTTACAATGCATGCACTAATCATCAGATCTTGCAATATTTTCTGGCTTAGGCTCACACATCAACCTTTGCAGCAGAGCACTTTGATGGCAGCTGGACTTGACCATATGACATCAGGCCCACATGCCAACCTTGGTTCAGTCCAACTCTCGCAGGAACAGATGCGACAGAGACAGCAGTTTCGACAGCAGCGACTCCTACAGGTGGGAACTGGTCTTGCACAAGGTGTAGTCCTGCATTACCAACTGGAATAGTGCAAGCAGTTTGAATACTCTGTTGTGTTAATATTGTAGATCTGATTTGATGAAACAAAGCTGTCCATTCAGTTTAAAAGGTAGACTTTTTTTCAACAACGTAAGTGGAATAACAGCAGTGCACTGAAACCACACGGTCCTTCCCTTCCTCCAGTCGGAAACCATTTTGTTGGATTCAGTATTAAAGTTATTCATTTCCTCCTAGGTATTAAATTACAGCTGGTAATATCATGCACAGAAGTGAAAAATGGGATAAAATTTATTTTTCCTAGGTATTAATAATGAGTATTTTTGTATTTTCCTTTGATCCTGTAATTAACCTGCACCTACGTCTTACAAATATCAAATGATTTCCAATTTCTTTGTATCAAAATGTGCCAGCTCATATTTATCGGTGTTGATCTTCATTTGCCAGTTATTTGCCATTCTGCGTGAAAGCCATCCTGGAATATTTTGCAGCGTTCTTCCATATTGACCAGGGCAGCAGTGGTTAGCACTGCTGCCTCACAGTGCCAGGGACCCGGGTTCGATTCCACCCTCAGGTGACTGTCTGTGTGGAGTTTGCACATTCTCCCCGTGTCTGCGTGGGTTTCCTCCGGGTGCTCCGGATCCTCCCCCCTCCAGTTCAAAGACGTTCAGTTAGGTGAATTGGCCATGTTAAATTGCCCATAGTGTCCAAGGGATGTTTAGGTTAGGTGGGTTAGATATGGGAAAATGCAGGGGTAGGGGAATGGGCCTGGGTGGGATGCTCTTCGGAGGGTTGGTGTGGACTTGTTAGGCTGAATGGCCTGTTCCACCACTGTACCCTCCCCATATTGACGATTTCCTCAAGATCCCATCCCCACAATTTGGTATCATTTGCCAAGTTTAGAGACTGTACTTTTAATGATGAATGATTAATGTAATCTATGAACAGCAGTGGTCCTAGAATCTTGTGGAACACCACTTCGCATCTGTTGCAACTCTTGAACAGCTACTTTCTACCCCCACGCTCTGCTTTCTGTCTTGAAGTCAGTTGGCAATCCACTGTGTCCCTTGTTCCCTACTCCGCATTCTCCAACCTTAGTTATTAATCTTTTATGCTGCATCTTATGGAAGGCCTTCTGAACGTCCAAATCAATTACATCACTGCATTCCCATTGTCCACTGTCTTTGTTACCATTAAAGGAACTTAATAAGGTTAGTCAAGCAAGATATTTACTTTTGAATTCATTATTCCTCTTTCCCGGGTGATTTTTAAAAATCCCAAAATATCAAATGTCATTATGTATATTCGACTTTCTATTCCACTAGTATTTGAATTTCACAGGTTTATGCTATTCCAAGGAGCAATTGATCACATGTATGTGGCAAATGATTTTCTAGGGTGTGATATCCTATAAATTTCTGCCTTCCTGTGGGTGCTTAAATTTACAATTCAGTATCACAGCTAATCAAATTCACCCATTTTTAAATTCCTCCTGATTTCACACTCCATTAATCTAAAAACAAGCACTTGACCTGCCTGACACAATACAGCTGAATGGGATTAAGTTAAAATCAGGACTATAAGATCTTCCCATACCAAAGAAATGATGGATCATCAGCTATAATGGTTCACAACTCCACCTGTTGTTACCTGTTCAAGCTGCATAACTTACTGGGGAACATTTCCTTGTCGAAGAGTTCTTTCAGTCTAAAGATTTTCTTCCATGATTTTCTAAAAAAACAGTCATAACTTTCCCTTCTCAAGTGGAAGATGTTGAACTTTCCCTTGAGTGAAGTCAGGTTGAAATGGGCTGACTATGTTGTCTATTCCATGGAGGACTTCCCTGCCATTCCCGCTCAAATGTTTGACAGTTTTGTCGATGCATGGATGCTACAATTTGGTTTAATTTATCATCAGACTCTATAATGATGCCATTCTTTGCATGTCCGTCTGAGTCAACAGTGAACCTGGCTAGTGTTGATTTTATCCTGTGTTGGACACAGTTTGACACTGAGTGTTCCACTAAGATGAATTACCAAAACCTTGGGCAAGAAGTTAGTTTTAAAGGAGTAGGTTAAAGACAGAGAGTTAGGAGACAGTGACTTAATGATAATGTTCCTGGACTAGTAATCCAGAAGCCCAAACTGGTTTTCTGTGGATATGGGTGCAAATCTCCGCATGATAAAATTGGAATTCAATGAAAAATTTAGAATTAAAAACTCATTAGGGGAGGCAATGGCCTAGTGGTATATCGCTGGACTGTTAATCCAGAGACCCAGATAACGTTCTGGGGCCCCGGGATTCAAATCCCGCCACAGATGGAATTTAAATTTAATGAATATCTGGAATTAAGAATCTAGTGATGACCATGAATCCATTGTCGATTGTCAGGAAAACCCTTCTGGATCACTAATGTCTTTTAGGGATGGAATCTGCCATCCTTACCTGGTCTGGCCTACATGTGACTCTAGACCCACAGCCATGTGGTTGACTCTTAACTGCTCTCTGGGCAGTTAGGGATGGGCAATAAATGCTGCCTAGCCAGCGACGCCCTCATCCTGTGAACAAAAAATGAAGGAGAAAGAAATACAACAGCAATCATGTAACAAAATGTCAATTGTCAAATGTACACCTAGTTCACTAGCACCATTTCAGGAAATCTGCCAACCTTAAATAAAAATACCAAAGAACTGCTGATGCTGAAAATCTGCTTTCTCTTCACAGATGCTGCCAGACATGCTGAGTTTCTCCAGCAATTTCTGTTTGTTTCAGATTTCCAGAATCTGCTGTTCTTTGTTTTATTTTGGGGTTAAGTAGATGCTCCTCTGGAGAGCCTGTTTTGGCAAGATGGTCCAAGTGGCCGCCTGTGGTATTAAAGTCTAAAACTTTTTGTCCAAATGTAGTAATGTTTTGTCCTCTGGTTACAGATACAGCAGCAGCAACAACAAAGTCAGCAAACACTAGGGTTACAAGCAGCGCAAACACAGCAAGCACTGGTGAGTTAATGATTAAATATTTCTGTGAAGAGGTTTCTCAATGCCTTGTGAATGAAATGTTAGGATGCAAATATACTTCTTGCTGATACAGTAGAGATTACCTCCACTTCGTTTAGGCATTGCATACGCAGCTCATCAGTTGACTGCTGTACTGAACATTTTTGCCCAGAGTTTTATCTACCATTCAGTTTACAAACTGGTTCGGCAGTGCAGTATCCACCGCTTGAAACGTCCCCTCTTAATCTAGACAGCCATTTGTTAATAGGGAGGCGATGGCCTAGTGGTATTATCACTAGACAGTCAATGCAGAAACACAGCTAATGTTCTGGGGACCTGGGTTCAAATCCTGCCACAGCATATGGTGGAATTTGAATTCAGTAATAATCTGGAATTAAGCATGTACTGATGACCAGCAGACCATTGTTGATTTTTGAGAAAAGCTCATTTAGGGAAGGAAACTGCCATCCTTACCTGGTCTGGCCTATGTGTGACTCCAGACCCACAGCAATATGATTGACTCTCAACTGCCTTCTGAAAGGGCCTGGTAAGCCACTCAGTTTAAAGGCAAGTAGGGACGGGCAATAAATGCTGGCCAGCCAGTGACGCCCACACGTCATGTGAATTTAAGAAAAAAATTGGGTAAATGGCTGATAACGCTTGCCTTTACCAGAGGCGTCCATTATAAAGGAGTTTCTTAAACCATGTGGTAAGTGCACCAACTTCTATGGATACTAGTTCTTCTTCCTGTTTCATTTATTCTAGTTCACAATGCACCAAATGTAATAGGCCATGTTCCAGCCCTGTTTAAAAATGAAGGTGTTACAAACTCAAGAGGTAGCTATGAGAAATCTTGACACTGTCCATTTAATTACTTCACCACAAGGTATGCACAAAGACTATGAACAGTTCCATTTGGAAAGAACCTTGCTTTAAATATTCAATATTCCTTAACTATTATATTTATGTAAATATTATTGAATGTTTTATCATTTGAATATTAAATGTATTTATTCGTTTAAATTTTAAATATCAGTGCCAATCAGAAACCTGACCCCACAGCAATTAGCTTTCTATTCCAACCTTCTCAGTTGTTCAGCTCCATGGTAATTTCATGCCACGTGGACATTTCTCGGCGCCTACTGATATCAACATCAGAAACCAATTTGTGCTCCTTCAGAATAGTCCCAATTCCAATTTGGTCTTAAAGGGACATCGCACAAGAATTTAAATGCCCCAAGGCTTTTATCATGTGGCTTTCTGCCCATATTCATGAGTTCAGGACACACTAGTCGAGGAGAAGACAAGGTGTCCAGACTCAGGCTGTGGAATTCACAATGCCAGAATCTGGTAGATGCAGGGACACTGAATAAATTTGAGGAGAAGGGCAGTTTTTAGTTTTTAATATGGACAGTGGGGCAGGAAAGTGGCACTGAGACCAATATAATATCAGCCATGATCGCATTGAATAGCAGAGCAGGCTCAGGGGGCTGACTTGCCTACTCCTGCTCCTACTTCTTATGTTATTGAATCCTTGTTGTTGTACTAAAGTTAAATGCTGTTTAACATTTCAGCTGTTCTGAATGCTGTTTTCAAGGTAAAGTTACCAATATGGTGTCTTCGAAGAGATGAATGAAGATATTTCTTTTCCAAGATGCCTGAAAGTTTTCTAAAATGTCCGTATGTAGGAACTACCCTCCAAATAACTTCAATGATTAAGACTCATTGGTTTTTTGACAGTATCAACGGTGATTGCTGTGATGTCATTTGCACCATTTTTGTGTATGCGATATTTTTGCACTGAATTTGATACCACATGATCAGATTGTGCCCTTTTTCATTTACGCTAAGGACTTGTTTGATTAAAATTGACAAAATGTCTTAGTTGTTGAGTAAAACTTGTGTTTCTTATGCAAACCATCAAAATAATAAAGAACTTCAAATTCTGAGATGATTTTGATGCCCAATTTTTTAATTGATTTACTTTGTCTGTTTCTGAAGAACTGTCTTAACCTGTTTGTTGTTGACTTTTCATTGAGTAAATAGTCTAGAAACTGTTAAATCGCTGTCAGATGTCTTAATTCTGTTTCCCATCATAGTTTCTTGAGCTTTCCCTTTATGGGATTAAACCAGCTTTGGGCACCTAGAAATTTGACTTTCCTTGTGTGCCAAATCTGGATTAATTCCCTGGCTGCTAGCGAGTTTTTACTGCTCTGACTGCTTTTTATCCACTTGCAAGAGCTTTCTTCTCTTCTTGCTGGCTGGGAGAAGCTTTTATTGACACAGTTGTCTTTGGCGATTTCTCTATAGGTTTCTGTTCAGATATGCTTCCTTTGTAGCAACTGTTCAGCAATGATGCTCTTCTGGCTTCTAATTGGTCTTAAAGATTTTTTTTTGAAAGCTTCTTTTGAGTTATTCTCTTCAGTACACTTTTCACTGTAGTCCTGTTCTCGAGTACACTTGACAATAAAATCGAAATCTATATCTAAGTCTCAAGTCTGTTTCTTGACCTGAGGCTTCGCAGCTGTCGTGGTTTTCTAACCAGTAGATCCTGTTGCTGCCACCATCTTTTATTGTGTGGTTTTAAAACACAATCATTAGCTGGAGTTCAAGACAAGTGGGACAAGAGAAGTTAAATTCAAGATCTGCCTCCAGTTTAAACTTGCTTTAAACTCCATTTATTGTATATTAATACTAAATGCTCTTCCACAATGCAATGTGGGGCATACCAGGTTCTAATCTTACTATTAAATTATTAAGAGACTATTGTCTGATCTCTATCCATCTTCCATCTTCTATCTATCTAACCAACTCTGCCCGTACGGTACTGTTTACGCCCAGTAGGTTACAGCTCCGTAACATAATCACAACGTTGCTCGAAAGCCCTTGCACAACAAAAAGCATGTAGGTCATCCCAATGAGAGAATTGTGAAACCATTTCAGTAGGTTTCAGAAGTTTAGAAGCTTAAATCATGTGGGCAGATTACATGAGCTTTGCTGGAATAGGTTTTGATAGGTAGTTTCAAGAAGGCACTCGGGTTAAAAGGGTTTGAAAGGGTAAATGCAGAAAGACTACACTTGGGTGGCGGTGGGTATGAATGAAGAACAAGAGGACATAATCATAAAAATAAACCCACTTGCTTCAGGGTAATGACAGAAAACGTATGTTCGTATGAAGGAGTCTGGGGTTTTTTGCTCCAATTATCTGGATGTTGAGAGTTAAATGAAATTTCCAAGACTGCACTTGATCGGTCTTTTTTTGGGTAAAGGTATGAAAAGGGATGGAATGAAATCTTGCGGATGAAATTAAAGTGCAATTGAACCATGACATTGAGGGCCTGAACGTCCAACTCCTTTCCTGTATAATGTGTGCAACAGCAGGAGCTGATTGTGAGTATTAGCTCACATCATCATGCTCTTTGTGTTCTTGTGCTCCATATATTTTGTTCTATTTTCAAAGCTGTGCACTGTGATTCTAACACAATATAACCACACCAGCATGTGTTTATATACATCTAATTAACAGAAAGCTTCCTAGGACCTTTCACAGAGACTCAATCAGATTAAAATGGATGCTGAGTCACAGAAGATGTGATGTTGAAAGCTGTTGACCAAAAGCTTGGTTAAAGAGATGAGTATTTTAGAAGGGCCTGAAAGTAGGAATTAGAATTGGTGAGGGGGACAGTTTTAAGGAAGAAATTCTAGAAGATGGCGAGTCGCTGTTATTGATGGGTCTAAAGAACAAAATTGATCTGGATGGGAAATAGAAAAGAATGGATCAAATCTGCTGCCCCACAGGACATCTCCAGAGGAGAATAGTGTATGAGTGAGAAGGTCAAATGCTGCTTATGTAGTATCCTTGGGTACTTTCTACTGAACTACTTCATATTTAGATGGCATGTTTACTGCAATTAATGTGAAAAAGTCAGTTTATCTGAAGAGTAATTGGGGGGGAAAATATGGAAAATCTTTAGTAGAGCTTTGAGCATTATAATTTCTCTTAATTGATATGCAGCACAGGATATTTCAGACATAGGTCATTTCTTTTAAATGTGCTCTACTTTCTTTTGTTCTCACTTCAAAGGAGTTGAGCTCTTGTTTCTGTTGTTTGGCTGTTGCTACATGGATCTCATTCAATGGTAGCGCAGACTCATAGAATCCTTACAATGCAGATAGAAGCCGTTCAGCCCATCGAGTCTGAGCCAACCTTCCAAAGAGCATCCTACCCTGACCCAAACACTGCTTCCCACCCTATCCCTGTAACCCCGCATTTCCCATGGCTAATCCACATAGCTGCACATCCCTGGACACTATGGGGCAATTAAGCATGGCCATTCCACCTAACTTCCACATCTTTGGACTGTGGGAGGAAACCGGAGCACCCAGAGGAAACCCACGCAGGCACAGGGCAAACGTGCAAACTCCACACAGACAGTCGCCCGAGGGTGGAATCGAACCTAGGTCCCTGATGCTTTGAGGCAGCAGTGGGCAGAACGGCCTATTTGTACTCTTAAGTCTCAAGCTCTTTATTTTCTCCACAGGTTTGCTGAACACCCTTCCAATGTGCACCAATGTACAAAGCAAATTTTGTCGTCAATTAGCAGCGTTGTCAACAGTAACAGTTGTCAAACTTAATGTACAGCCATCTGCTGAGCATAATAACGATCTCATTGCTCAATTCTCTTTCAAACTGATGGGATACCCTGCAATCTGGAATTAGGAGTCTAATGATGACCGTGAAACCATTGCTGATTGTCAGGTAAAACCCAACTGATTCGCTAATGTCCTTTAGGGAAGGAGAGCGACCATCCTTACCTGGTCTGGCCTACGTGTGACTCCAGACCCACAGCAATGCGGTTGACTCTGAACTGTCCTCTGGGCAATAAATGCTGGTCTAGCAGTGACGCCCTCATCATGTGAATGAAAAGGAATAAAGCTGTCATACAGACCTTCTGTTCTTGGCACTGTGCCAGATATCCAGTGGACAATAGTTATTCTCACAG